GAGGTTCTCAGTACTAGAATCCCGGGTCACAAACATTCCTTAGTAAATCTGCACTGAATCACTAACTCTCTCACGCCTTCACCCAGGTTTCTTCCGTGTCGTTGCTGATGCTCATCTTTTCTACGGGTCTTCAGAAGTTCAGTTCGGTTTTCCCTGTTGACCGTTACTGGACTCAGAACTTCCTACCTGGTCTGGGCACTGCGGGCCATGCCAACCCTTGGACATGGGAACCTCTCAGAGGCGGACTTCGTGCTGGAGGGATTTGAGGGCGGACCTGAGCTCCAAGCCCTGCTCTTTGCGCTGTTCCTGGTCCTGTACGTGGTCACCGTCCTGGGCAATGTCGTCATGATCCTGCTCATAACTGTGGAGGGCCGCCTGCACTCCCCGATGTACTTCTTCCTCAGGAGCCTCTCCTTCCTGGACCTGTGCTACTCCTCCGTCATCGCGCCCGAGGCCCTCTCCAACTTCCTCTCCGCCACCAAGGCCATCACCTTTGCAGGCTGTGCCACCCAGTTCTTCTTTTTCTCTTTCCTGGTCACCACGGAGGGCTTCCTGCTGGCTGTGATGGCCTATGACCGCTTCGTGGCCATTTGCAGTCCACTGAGGTACCCCGTGACCATGTGCCCTGCGACCTGCACCCGTATGGTGATGGGCACCTGCTGTGGAGGCTGCCTCAACGCCATCGTTCAGACCAGCCTCACGTTCCAGCTCCCCTTCTGCGGCTCCCACCGCATCGACCACTTCTTCTGCGACGTGCCCCCGCTGCTGCAGCTGGCCTGTGCCGACACGGCCCTCAACCGGCTGGTCATGTTCAGCGTCTGCGGGCTCATCATCGTGGCCACCACTCTCGTGGTCCTGGTCTCCTACGGCTACATCACAGTGACCATCCTCAGGATGCGCTCGGCAGCCGGGCGGCGCAAGGTCTTCTCCACCTGCGGCTCCCACATGACGGCCGTGTCCCTGTTTTATGGGACTGTGTTTGTCATGTACGCCCAGCCAGGGGCTGTGGAGTCCATGGAGCAGGGCAAGGTGGTCTCAGTCTTCTACACCCTGGTCATCCCGATGCTCAACCCCCTCATCTACAGCCTGCGGAACAGGGACGTGAAGGAGGCCCTGCGGAGGCTGGGCCAGAGATGCACAGCCACGTGAAGGACGGTGGCAGAGACAGACACAGCGCCCCGAGGGCTGGCGGGGAGAGCCACGGAGAGATGCTGGGCAGTGAGGAGCCCCCACCTCCCCTCCTTCCAGAGGGAATTGCATGTGCTGGGACCCACCCACCCAACGCAGTCGGCACACCAGGCGTTCATGGGCTGTGGGACACGGAGCTGGATAAGGCACGCTCTGCATCCGGAACCCGACAGCTGCAGGGAAGGGCCAGTGGCCCCAGTGACAGAAGATGACCGAGCACAGCAGCCAACCAGGAGTCAAAGCAGGGGCTGATCTCCCGCCTCGTACCTGCTGCTGTTCCCCGGCCTTTCCACGTGTCTTATTCTGAGACAGGTTAGACATTGGTGCCTCCCTATCAAACTTGCCAGCAAAAAATACTGACACGAATTCACCCCCCACCGCCCACCCCGTGCAGGGCCTTGCGCGTCCTGGGCCTCTCACAGGCATGGATCACGGGCTGACCCCATGTCCCCTCTTTCAGCTTGTCTTCATGCATCGCCGAAGAGCCCCGGGTGAAACAGTAGCTTAAGTCTACGGCCAAGGCAGTCCCCTCAGCGAGGGACAGGTCGGTGGGACTCGGTCCGGCCCTGGGGGCCCCGATGTCACTCGGGCAGCCTGCAGCCGTCCCCGGCAGCAGATGCCAGTGTCCTGCTTCCCGTGCGGTCCGCAGAGCCATGAGCCAGATACACCTGCCTTCCTGACAAGGTGCCAGCCTCGGGCATTCCTCCACGGCAACGATGACTGCAGGAACACAGGGACACAGACCCGTTTTATCTGAGACATGGACAGCAAGGATCACGACAGCACAGAGTGCCAGAAGGGCACCTGGGGATTTAGAGAGACCTGCCCGTGAACCCCTGGTAAGGATGTGTTTTGGACGCTGATTCAAAAGCTATAGGACAAAACCACATTTATTACATGTCTGAGGATATTGGACCTTTGAACACTGATGGGCATTTCATGATATTAAAGAATTATAGTTTTTAGCTACGATAATGGCGCTGTGCGTGCTCTTTTGAAAATACAAGTTCTTATATTTTAGCGATGCCTGCTGACACAGGTGAAGGAAATCCATCGTGTGCTGCTGGCTGTGACATGATAAAGGGCCGTGGCGGTGAGAGGGGGCGGCGGTGTGAGTCTGGCCGTGAGGTCATTGCTGAGAGCTGGGGACGGGCATTCGGGGCTCGTGACACTGTTCTCTCTCCTGATCCATATGTGCAGACTGCCACAATCACAGCTTAATTAGGCTGCGTCTGTGTCGGATGTTCTCATCCCCCCACCCCAAACTGAGCTGTCCTCTCTACCAACAATTCAACTCCATGTTCAGTGTGGAAAATGTGCCTTACGTCCTTAAAATTGTTTTCTCTTATTATTGTTTTTTTTTCTATTTCACAATTACATGAGTTATTTTTATATCAGTTGTATGTATTGCACCTGTTTGCCTATTAACTTCCATCTAGCAATTGCTTTACCCTTATAGTAGTGAAGGTTTTCTGAAGACTCTCCTCTATGCTGCGAATTGGGGCATCTCTGCCACACGCTGTTTCTCCTCTTTTCCTGTGTTTTTTTTGTTTTTTTTAAATTTTGTTTTTAACACACCAAGAATTTAATAGAACTTAATTTGGGCAGTAAGATGGAGATTAATTTCATTTTACCTTTAATTCTGGAGTAATAGATTTGCATGCAGTCATTAGGAGGGATACAGTGTCAATGGAAAAAACACAAACTGTCAGTGCTGCACGCCACGCTGGCTCTCAGTGAAGGGCCCCTTTGGGGTTAGTACGGTCACCAGCAAGATGCCAGATAAACAAACACAACCAAATGTTCCAAATGTTATTTCCATGGCAGGTGGGTGGTTTTCCTGCCCCAGAAGAGTTCTAGAAGGTTCTTTCAACATTTATGTAACTGCACTGGGCACAGTTGGGGACACAGAGGGGAGCCTTCCAAGGGGCAGGATAAATGAAGTCTCAGCAAAATGAATTTTGAAGTTGAAATAGCCAGAAGAAATAACAAACGAAATGCCACCCGAGGACTGCTGGCTGGAACAAATCGCCTGGCTGCCTGCCCTGTGGAAGGGCTCGGTCCACTGCCCCACAGGCAACTTTGGAGCTGTGTGAATTCCCCTTGTGTTGCCAGGTGGCAGATGCCCAGCGTAGACGCCGACCGCCCCGTGTGCCTGATGCTCCGGACAGCCCAGCTCCCGCAGGCCCTGGCCGGCCCTGCCCCATTCCGAGCCCATGAATCAGTCCCTGTCATGGCACATGCTGACCAGCGGCCCGCAACCTGCAAGGTCTGACCTTCCTCCTCCACCTCAGCTGCAAACAGGGCAGGACTCGAAGCAGGTGCAGGCCTGGGTCGGGGAAGAAAGGCCGTCTGGGCACCATCACCCCGGGGCCCCTCCCTGCTGCTAGGGACCCCTCTGCCCCAGGGGGCCACCCTTGGGGACCTCCCTCGGGACAGTGGGCCCCATCCTGAGGCCCCTGCAAGTTCTCCTCCAGGTGTGGCCGGGAGCTTCCACCTGCTCCCGGAGCACCTGCCCTCACCCCTCTCACGCTGGGCTCTCGCGGGCTCTTTAGCTTTGTCCTCCCTGTGGGGCCTCTATGCAGCACTCACACGCACACATATGCACCATCACACGCACAGGTGTGCGGTCACAGCCCACGGGCCAGGGTGAGCTGCACACTGCAGGTGTGTGGAATTTGATGTGTTCGTGCAGACGCATTTACACTCACCTAAAAAGTATCAACACACACACACAGTGTGTATTCCACACGTATGTGAGTAGGTGACAGCTCTCTGCACGCACCGTCCCCACCCACGGGGCCTTGTGCAATCCCCTCATCGCCAGGGGCCACAGCTGTCACTCTGTCCAGTGGGCACAGGGCCCTGGCATGGACACACCAGCGTGTCCTCGTTCATGGAGGTGTTTCCATATTTTTCGTTGTTACGGAAAACATGCTGCAAAAGCATTTCCTTAAGGTCTCGCTGGGTCAAAGTGCACGCGCACCTTCAGTTTCATGTGTCGCCATGTGGCTTTCAGACGGGCTGTGACGCGAGCATGTCCCCGAAGCCTGGCGAACACACGGGATACACTCGGCCACGCAGGCGGCGTGTTCTGCACACGTCTGTCAGGCCCGTGTGGTCTGCAGTGCGGTTCAGGTCTGTGTTTTCCTTGTTTCCTGCTGCCCGTTAGGGTACACAGGCACTGAAGGCTCCTACCGGCCCCGCGGTGCAGTCTGGTTCTCCCTTTGGACGCGGCAGCGTGCGCCGTGTTCCGTCCCGCGGCACACGGAGACATCCAGGCCGACAGCAGACCGCATGTGAGATGGTGGCTCCACGAGATCATGACACGTTATGTTTGCTGTACGTCCCGTGTCTGCACATGTGTGGACACACAGACCGTCGCTGTGCGCCATCGTCTGCGCCGACCAGTGCGGTCTGCAGCCCGGGAGCGGCCGGCCAGGGAGCACAGCCGGGGTGTAGCGGGCCGCACCCCGGGTCTGCCTCAGTGCTTTGTGGGGACGACCGTCTAACGACGTGTTTCTCAGAACACACGGTCGCTGGGTGGCGCGCTCTCCTGCTCAGGCCTGAACCAACCGGCAGGAGCGGCAGCCGGGAAGGGGTGTCATACTCACCGGATTTCTGTGACCCTGACTGACATTTCACAGACTTCTTTGAGTTTGAGAGCCTTTAAGCACTCACCAGCCACTTCGGCGACAGGACCTTCTGTAAACTGTCCTTTCCCGTGTCCTGTGCCCACCACGCGAGGACACAGAGGTGACGCCGTGGGCCGGGACTCTCCCTGGGCTGGTGTCTCTCCTCCCCGAAGGACCCAGGGTTTGCTGGTTCCCCAAGTCCCGCGGCCCTTCACCCACATTCCACAGACGCCGGGCACCTGCTATGCGCTGGATGCTCTGCCTGATGCCGGGGACACAGGGACCGGCCGTCCTCGAGCACAGTCGCCACCGGACTCGCTACCGCTGCGCCTCCCGGCGACGCCGTCCTGCACAGGACACCCGCTCCCCCAGCTGCCCGCTGACCAGTAAGAGCCACTGAAGTCACACCTGCGAGTCGAACTTTGGGACCCGTCGGAAGTCGCCTGACTCACGTCCTTGTCATGCTTCGCGGCCGAGACTGCCCAGGACTGACCCTGCGGGGGTGACCCGGGCCACATGCTGGGAGGACACGGGGCCTGGCCCGCCACAAGGTGCGTGCGGCGTGGGCGTGGGGAGGAGTCGCCCCCGCCCTGAGACCGCCCTGCCTGGGCAGCGGAGGCCGAGCTCCTGCATGTCCAGCTGTGGCCTCCTGGGGACAAAGGGGCTTTGTGTCCGGGCACCTCTTCTCAGCGCTTCTCCTCTTGGCCCCAAGCACGGATCATGGCGGCGAGAGCTCTGACGTCCGTAACGTCCCTTCTCTACAAATGTGGCTTATTTTGGAGGTGCCCACGGTGGCGTCCCTGTGTCTGTCCCAGGACCCAGCTCACCTCCCTCCTCCCTCGCTGTCTTTGTCGGCGAGAGTGACAGCCCATCACCCACAATGGTGAGAGCTCTGCCCAGGAGTCAGCCCAGGCGGGACGACCACCTCAAGTTGCTGTCTCCTGGCGCCAACCCTTCCTGGTGGCTTGCAGGCGACGGCTGAGCCGCAGGGAGGTCAGGGAGAAACGAGGTGAAGGTCTGTGTCTGGGCCTCGGCACCAGGGAAGCTGCCGGGATGCCGTGAAGGCAGAGGGAGGCGCCACGGGGCTCACACAGGTCTGAACGTGTGCAAAGAGGCTGACACGCACACGCACACGCAGACGCGTGCAGATTACTTTGCGCAGGGCCACGTGACCCAGTCTGGACCTCTAGGGCCAGCAGAGGCTTCCCAGGTTCCCAGCCGTAGTCTGGACAGGCCGTGCCGGTCCTCACCGGGCCCACAATGCGGCGGAGTTACCATCCACCAACGGTCCTTCCCGCACCCTGGCCCACTCCTTCCTGCTGCACCAGAGCCCGATGTCCTCAGCCGCCAGTGAGGAGAGGGAGCGCAGAGGAGGGAGGTGCCCGGCAGGACCCC